ATGCAGCCGGTGAGGGACCGGGTCATCAGAGTCACCTTCAACGCGGACGTGCACTCCAGCATGCAGTGGAACTTCAAACCGCAGCAGAGCGAGATCTTCGTGAGTGCCTTCGCCTTCCCGCGCCCTGCACTGAAATGCAGCCGGTGAGGGACCGGGTCATCAGAGTCACCTTCAACGCGGACGTGCACTCCAGCATGCAGTGGAACTTCAAACCGCAGCAGAGCGAGATCTTCGTGAGTGCCTTCGCCTTCCCGCGCCCTGCACTGAACCGCAACACGAGGCTGGGATGCTCCCGGAGCGCTGCCGCTTCAGCACCGTGTGTTGGTGCGGGTTGGGAAGGCAAGGCCAGCCTCTGCTACTGGGGCAGGACTTGCTGCCCCGTGTAGTGTAGTTCAAGTGTAGCTGCCCCCCTACCATCCCACCAAGCTACCAAACCCCAATTGCTATCAAAAGTATGTATATACACACTTTATGGTATATATACATCATAAAGGCTGTGTATAGGGTATATTTTTATACCCATAAACACCCATAAAATGTGTGTATATATTTAAATATACACACATATATTTAAATATACACCATAAACATATATCTGAACCTGTGGGTTTCTTTCTATTCTTGCCTCTTGCCATGCTTCTTACTTGGTTTCAAAGTCCAGCTAGGAAAGAATAACCTCAAAAATCAAACGTACATCCTATATAAATCTGCATATTAGAAAAGCCCAGTGTGCTGCTAAACAGCTCAGAATAATAGAAGTCTTGGTGGCAAACTAGTTAAGATGCACACGTGTAACATTGTTGTATTTGATTTTGAATGGAGATGAATTGTATAAGCAAAATATTTGTGAAGTAACCAAACTGACCCAGCAAAAGAGAAAATGAACTAATTCTAGCTGAAGTCTAAGTAACTGTGTTTGAGGGGTGAAGTGCTGCGGTGTATTAACAAAAACTACACTACTTTATACAGGTGGTGCCAGGAGAGACAGCACTGGCCTTTTATAAAGCGAAAAATCCAACTGACAAACCCATAATTGGAATCTCTACGTACAATGTAATACCTTTTGAAGCAGGACAGTACTTCAATAAGATACAAGTAAGTATGAACAAAGCAAAGATCACATTTTCCTTTATGTGACTGAGAATTTATGACTTTTTCCTCATTTTAATCCTAGATCCATTCCTTGTATGTCAGCATTTTGAGAAGATACCTTGATTTTTCCAAATGAGAGCACACCAGTTCATTTTTAGTCATACTACCTTAACAACAAGCTGCAGCACACATCTGATTTGAGTGGCTCCTAAATAACAGGGTATTTAGGAGCCATGCACTGGGGACAGGTGGCAGGGATGTGAGCCAGCCTGGCCCCTTTGCACCTGGGGTCACTTCATTAAAAGCTCATTTTTTCCCCCTGTAACACAGAAGGAACATAATTGCTGTCTGTTACATGGTTGATCCTTCCCTGGATTTCAGGGGTGTGCAGGGAATGAGAGTTGATTTTGAAAGATGAAGCTCTCTTGTATTGGCAGAGGTAAAGTTTACCATAGCTACTGTTGTCTAATTATGGTTTTTTTCCACCCTGTGCAGTGTTTTTGTTTTGAAGAACAACGACTAAATCCTCAGGAGGAAGTGGACATGCCTGTCTTTTTCTACATTGACCCAGAATTTGTAGAAGACCCTAAAATGGCTAAAGTTGATTTGATCACCCTCTCTTACACCTTTTTTGAAGCAAAGGAAGGACAGAAGTTAGCACTTCCTGGGTATCAGTAACAGGCAATCTCTACACAATTCAACTTCTGGTGCCTGATTGCCAGTTTAGAAACCGTTTCCCCATGGAAGGAGGAACTGCAGGAATACTGCATGGTATGAAATTATATTATTAAACCACCATGGGCACATGCTGCTGTTATGAAAGGATATATTTTTATTAAAAAAACTAAACAAAAAAGGTATGTAGTTGAATATTATTTCTTAGGGATGAGTGTTTCTTCATCAGACAATAGAAGGGAACACACTATTCCTGGGAGAGGGTTTTCTCAAGCCATCTTTTCCTAAGAAGATAATCTGAGTATGGTGAGGCAAAGTTTTAAACCCAATTGTAAACTTGAGATCTTAATTTAAATAAGAGGAAGAAGTCAGTTTATTAACCATCTAAAATTGTGTTGCTGGCTCTGCAGAATAACCTCCATGTAAGTTACTTTATAGAAAGATAAAAAACAGGAAATCAGTTCATGAAATCTCAAAGCTGAACAAAGTCAGACTGCATTGCTACATAACCCTCCTATGGCACAGGGGTTATGATGATTCAGAAGGCGATGCACCCTCTCAAGTAAGTATTGCAGCAGTAGTTCATTTGGTAAGAGCAGATTGCTCTAAAACTGTTACCATCTGAGTAAGGAACAGTAAATAAAAGCACATCAAATCTGTGGTCTGGTTTCCATTTAGAAATGCCACCCTCAAATTTTGGTGCTGTGTTTAACTCAGTACACTGGGCACCTCCACACCTACATATGAAATACTTTGAAGGGAGAGGCAGTAGCTGAACAACTACTCCACAATGCAGGCTAAATTAGTAGCATAGGAACCTCAAAACCCAAAAGGAAATTAGCCTCCTTCAAGCCCAGCAGTGTATCAGTTGTTCAGAGGTACTCGTAGGGGCTCTGTACCATTACAACACAGAAGTCTGTATTTAGGCAACTTGGTCATTATCTGTAGGGTAGGGATAATAACCCCTTATCATAGCTTTGCAAGTGAGGTTGGAGTTGAAGAGCATTTTCAGATAGGAATGAACCACAGCCCTGTGTATCACCTGCTGGACAAGTTCTTTCTATCCCTTTCAGCAGATAAGATCTAACAAAGTAAGCCTAATGTTGGTCTGTTTGGACCCTATGAATGCAATGGGTATATCAGAAATAACCTGCAGTTACTTTGGTTTGCATACAACAATTTTAAGTGGATACTACCTTTAAAATGCATTACTGTACCAATTAGGCAATGTTTAAATAGATTCTGGATGACATTCATGCACTGTATTAAAGTTTTAAAACTTTTCATTCTTTCATCTCTCTAAAGCATTTTATCCAACAGAATGTGTGGAGCCCACACAAGGGGGACAGATCTGTATGAATGAGCTCTATTATCTATAATTCCAGTTATGCTTCAGAAAAAAAGAAAGAAAACCCAAGACAAATCTCTGAATCCAGGCTAGAAAAAATAATTCTTACCTGGGTTGTCTTTAGTCCATTGCCTTTTTGGAGGCTGAACCGATTACAACAGTTCTCTCACATTGCTTTATTCTGGCCACGTGTTTCAGGAGAACAGGAACATCCCCCCTGCAAGTATGAGTCTCTTAAAAAATGTGGGTTTCCCCCCCAAGTTTGAAGGCACACAGAGACTGAGCACATTCCAATTATAAAACAAGCTTCCCGACCTCAGTAATCAGCCAGTTCCCTGTCATCTATCTGTGACAGTTTCACTTCTTTACATACGGAAAGTTCAATTTGCAATCATCCATTATGGATCACCACACCGAAATAGCCTATGCTGTTACGCTTCTGTGTCCAAGGGCTTTCCCACTACAACTGAGCTGTAGGTAAAAT